AAAAAAAAAAAAAAATCATTGCTATTTTAGAAAAGTTTTTTATTTTTTTAAGAGATAAGCCACAGCATAGCCTAAAACAGCCCAGTTCAACTTCCCATCATTGCTCTTGTCCTTAAGCCCCTTTCCAGGGCATGAAACAGACTTTACCAGGGATCCCCCAGTGCTTCAGCAACCACTCATCTCAGCCCCCACTCTCCCACATCATATACACATCTTGGAGCTCTGGTATAGCATAGTGGCTAAGGCACTTGACTGCTAACCAGAAGGCTAGCAGTTCAAACCCACCAGCCACTCCTCGGATGGAAGGTTGGGCAATCTACTTCCATAGTGATACTGCCTCAGAAACCCAAGGAGGGGTCGCTATGAGTCAGGTCCAACTCAACAGCACATAACAACAGCAACAACATACACTTTATGTATGAATGGGAGCTCTGGTGGCATAATGTGTAAGGCATTTGACTACTAACCAGAAGGCTGGTAGTTCAAACCCACCAGCCATGCCTTGGAAGGAAGATTGGGCAATCTACTTCCAAAGTGATACCCCCTGGGAAACCCACATATTATTAGATAGGTTTCAAGTACTTCCATAGCTCAGAACTACTATGAATTGGATTACTATAAGACTGTCCTTTTTTAAAGCTCTCAAGAAACAAAGATGGTCAGTTACTACACATGAATAAATTAGATGGCTCCACAATAGAATGTTGGAAAGCATCACTTTAAGTGCTATTTCTTCACATATTAGCTATAATGGTCAAATAGAGCATTTTGGACATTTCAGACACCACTGTAAAGATCACTAAAGTTACCAGATATTTTTATATAACTTAACTCATATGAATCTCAAAATAACTTTAAAGTTGAAAGGGCACATTTTGCCTTATAGATAAAAAATAGAATGATTATGTGATGTTGCCAAGGTCACATCTAGAAATTACTTCAAATCAAGAAAACCCAGTCTGCTGATGTTACATCGAATGTTTTTTCTGCTACATCATGAGACTCATAGTAATAACAAGAAATCTACCTCTGTGAAGGTTCAAATATATATTCTATATTGTATTTGGAAAAAAGCCCCAAAATAACATTCTTTCCATTTGAGAATACTTTTGAAAACACTCTGATAGCCAAGACATTTTTAGTGGGAAATACTTAGAAATAAATATAAACAACAAAACAATTAACATAAACTTTATAAACTGTTTTAAATTCATAGTTTATAATTACAGTAAACTAATAAAATCCCAACTGCTACATGTATTATACATGGATAAAGCTTCTTCTCCTGATTCCTGCTACCACATGAGAAAACACTGCCTAGATTTTAAATAATCAGAAGAAATTTTTTTGTTTGTTCCTAAAGACAAATCTCATTTTATGCCTGAAAAAGTATTATTATTATAGTACCATTATTAAATGACAGAAAAGAAATCATTGAATATTTTATATTTTCCTTTTAGTCAACCTTACAAGTAACAGAAATCTTCAGGGATGTTAATAATTTTCTAAAAGTAGTATGATTTTTCTGGTAATAGAGAAATTTCTGGAAAGTTCTGAAAACTCTGTTGAAGATTACTGAGTCCATTTGAGCTTCTATCAGAATGATAATTTAATTGTCTGTCGTCATGAATATATTCTTTAAGCTGACTAGTGTAATCCTGGAATGTGGATGCATATATAATATTAAACCAATAATCTACATAAAGAATTATCATTTCAATAAGGAAGGGAAAAAAATAATGAAAAAAAAAAAAAAAAAAAACTACAGCAGGAGCAGAGAATGACATTCTAGGCATTTTTTTCTTAATATTCTCCTTAACATTTCCAAAATTAATTATTATATTTTCTTTTATGTTTTGATATATACATTAAAAATGTTTACAGGTAGAGTGCTTTTAAAAAACAAAAACAAAAATGATAAGTGTCTTACCTGTTGCATTAAGGCTGCAGCTAAATTCCCCCCTGCACTATCTCCAGAAATACCAATTCTCTCAGGATTCACGCCATATTCTGCAAGAACTTTTTTGCGTAAGAACCACCGTAAGGCATTATATACATCTTCAAACTGAATTGGGAAATGATACTTAGGTGCCAATCTGTAGCTGTGGAGAGAAAATATGTAGGATTTTTTTTGTCCTTTCTTTTCTTTTTTTTTATTAAAGAAAAAAAATTTCTTTGACATGGATTGTCATGAGTCAGAATCAACTCATCAACAACTCTTTTGCTGTTTTAAAATATTTCTATACATATCAGAACTGTACATATCATAAGTATACAACTCTATGAGTGTCATTATAGTCAGAATCGTCAATTTTTAGAGTTAGAGTTAAATAATTTATCTTTGGTTTGAATATATAAGGATATAATCAAAGAAGAGGCATGTGCTTCTATAAAAATCTAAAGGTATATTTTATTTTTAAGTACACATATTTATTAGTCATCTAAATGAATGGAACATAGGTTTATATCTTTCCATGTCATTTGAATTGCCATCTCTAAAAAATAAATTTGAAATGTAAATCTTAGGATAAGCTTAGATTTTTTAATTACCTTTTAAAAGGTTATTCATCTAATTACCATATCTATTGGTGATCACTTACTGCCAAATTTTGAGCATGACTGTGCTTTAATTTTATAGCAGTGATTTAACTTGACATATAATTACAAAAATACTATTTCTTAAATTTACTGCATTATCTGAAGATTAAATTTAAGTAAGTGCATGTAGCTGGACTGTTGCCAAGATGGTAGACTAGGCAGATATACTATTCTGGCCCTCTACAACAACCTGAGACACCAAGTGAAATGAAAATGGGTGACAATCCTGGAAGCCAAAACTTCAAAGGATCAAGAAGTAGATAAAATACCAATGACAGGAAGAGACCGAATGAAAACAGTGAACAAAGAAGCATATGGAGTGGTGAATTGCCAATGGGCCTGGCATGTCATGGCCATTTTGGATTATTGGAAGCGGCATTCTGATCAGAGCAAGAATCACATAACCAGCTATGCTCACTAGGACTGCACTGACACTCACATTGGTGATCAGAAACTAGAAAGTCAGGAGCCAGTAACCCTACTCAACCATACCTGCCACATTGCCACCCACCCCCTGGGTGAGGGCCACCAATTACTGCAGCATCACTGGGTTGACAACAGACAGTAGTCAACACATGCCCATTCTGTCATCAGCTGTTCTACATGACTAACAATTAGAGTCATACCCACCGTCCCAAATGTTACCAAATTCACCCTAAGACAGATGTTGAATGTCCTAGTGCTGCCAAACTAGCAGCCAGAGTAGCATGCCTGTGCTGTTACCTAGATATATTAAAACAAAACAAAACAAAAAATCAAGGTAAAGCAAATGAACATACAATCAACAAATTAATACAATAACTCTACAATGTTTTGGACAGACAACTTTAATTACTCACACACAAAAATACAGGACAAAATAGCTCAAACAAGTGACAAAAATAAGGGCTAGAAAACCTTTCAAAGAAAGTAATGCTATTGGGACTACCTGATGAAAAATTCAAAAGAATTATGCATAGATCCCTTCAGCAGATTCAGAAAGAGTTCAAGGAAAACATACACAAGTAAATCACAGACAAAATCCAAAACAGAGACAAAGCTCTAGAAGAATTCAGGAAAAGAATACAAGAACAAATTGACAAAATAAATGAAAATGAGAAAACTGCCAATAGAAATCTAGAAGTTAAATACTAAAATTTCAGAAATAGATAACACATTAGAAGGGCAAAGTAGTATAATTGAACAAATGGAAGACAGAATTAGTAAGATTGAATACAAATCTCTTAATACTAATCTGTTAGAGGAACAATCAGAAAAAAATCACAAAAACAAAAAGAATAATAAGAAGAAACCCTAAGAATTATTTGGGATACCATCAAGAGGAATAACTTGTGTGTGATCAGAATTACAGAAAAGAAAGACACACATACACACACATGCACACACACAAGCACTGAGAAAGTTTTCAAAATGTGTTGGAAGAAATCTTTCCTAATATTATGAAAGATAAGATATGCATTCAAGAATCTCAGCACCCCAAATAGGATAAATCTCAAAAGAAACCCACCAAGAAACATGTGGTAGTTAAACTTATGTGTCAACTTGGCTGGCCTGGTTTTGAGTGCCTGGGCAGCAGGATGTAATTATTCCTTAGGATAAGACTGGTAATAAACTCCATGGTGGAATCTGAATTGCACAGCCAAGTAGCTGTCTTAGAGATATGGTCTGTTTCCAATATGTAAGAAAAATATTGAGAATGGTCTCCCAGCTTTTTGGCATGCTTGGACCCTGCTGTAGCCAAGTTTTCATTCAGCAGCTTGCCATGGCCTGCCAATCTTGGAACTTTTTCTGGACTTGAGCTAGTGGCCTGCCATGTTGTTTGATAATCTTGGGACTGTGTTTTTTACTTGTCAATCTTCTGTTTGTGAGCTTCAGGAGCCAGCAGGTGCCTGAGTTAAGAAAACCCTCCAGCTTCAGTGGTCTGGGAGCAAGAGGCAGAGCTGAAGCCCAAGGTTGAGGGGCTTTCACTCAGCCCCTAGAGCTGGCACTTTGAACTGAGACTTCTAGCCTCCTAAACTGTAAGAGAATAAATCCCTGTTTGTTAAAACCACCAATCTGTGGCATTTTCTGTTAAAGCAGTACTAGAGAACCTGGCCGGGAGGAGCTCTGGTAGCATAGTGCCTAAGGCACTTGACTGCTAACCAGAAGGCTGGCGATTCAAGCCCACCAGCCACTCCTTGGAAGGAAGGTTGGGCAATCCTACTTCCGTAGTGATACTGCCTCAGAAACCCAAGGAGGGGTCGCTATGAGTCAGGGCCGACTCCATGGCAAATAACAACAACAACAACAGAGAACCTGGACAAAGACAACATATCATAATCAAATTTTACAAAACCAAAGAAAAAGAAAGAATCCTGAAAGCATCTCAGGAAAAATCAAAAGTAATCTACAAAGGAGAATGGATAAAACTGAGCTTTGATTAACCAGCAGAAACCAATGGTATCATGTATATAAAACAATGAAAGGAAAAAACTGTGCCAACCCAGAATTACATACCCATCAAAATTGTACCTCAAATATGATGAAAAGTTAGAACATTTCCTGATAAACAGAAATTAAGAGAATTTGCAAAAACCAGCTCAATTTTAACAGAATGAGAAAAGAATCCTTGGAACTAAGAACCAACAATAACAGACAACACTTGAGATTAAGACACACAACAATGCTCACATCAAAAAAGCAAAAAAAAAAAAAAAATCAACATCAACATCTTACACCAACATCTCCAACTATTAGGAAAGCAACAGCAAAAAAAGCTTATACTGGCCAGAAGTAAGGATATAGAGATTAAAAGAGAAAAACAATAGAAAGAATCAACAAGGTTAGAAGTTTGTTCTTTGAAAGGATTATTAAAATTAATTGATAAACCACTGGCAAATTTAACAAAGAAAAAACAAAGAAGATGTAAATAACACAAGTAAGAAATTAAATTGGCAACATCTTAACAGAACCACCAGAAATAAAAATAATAATAATAATAGAATACTGTGAAGAATTGTACTCCAACAAATTTGAAAACCTAGACAACCTGAGCAAATTTCTAGAAACACATTACCAACTCAAACTAACACAATCTGAGGTGGAAAATCTGAACAGACTCGTCACAAAAGTAGTCTATAGATATAATGCAATCCCTATCCAGATTTGATCATCATTCTTTAGAAAGATGGAAAATCTAATCACCAAAATATATGAAAAGGAACTAGATCACAGATAAGCAAAAGTAGAATAACAAAGAAGGAGTCCTTACCCTCTACAGCCTGGCATTGGTATAATGACAGGCATATAGACCAATGGAAAAGAATTGAGAATCCAGAGGTAAGCTCATCCACCTATTAACAACTAATCTTTGACAAAGGGCTGAAACACTTTAAATGGGGAAGAGATAGGCTCTTTAACAAATGGTGCTGGTAAAACTGGAAATCCATTTGCAGGAATATGAAACAGGATCCGTATCTCTCATATACAAAACCCAACTCAAGACGGATCAAAGAGGTAAATGTAAAAACTAAAACCATACAGATCATCAAATAAATAAATAGAAGCTAACTTAGGAATCCTGGTACATAGCAAAAAATACACTATTAAATAATTAAAAACACATGAACAGCAGAAGACAAACTAGATGACTTGGAGCTCCTAAAAATGAAACATTTACATATAGCGAAATAATTCACCAAAATACTTAAAAGAGAATCTGTAGAGAACAAATTTTGGTGAAAACATATCAAACAAAGTGCTAACCTCTAAAATTTATAGAATAAAAAGATAAAACAATTTAATTAAAATATGGATAGAAGACATGAACAGATATTTTGTCAAAAAAGACATTCTGGAGCCAACAAACACATGGAGAAATGCTCGTAATTGTTAGAGAGATGTAAATCAAAATAACAATTGGATATCATCTCGTGCTAGCATTAATACCAAAGTTTAAAAAAAAAATAAAAAGGAAATAATTCCTGGCTAGGGTGTGGAGAGACTGGGAGCCTCATACGCAGCTGGTGGGACCAAAAAATGGTGTAAGCACTGTGGAAAACAGTATGGAGCATCCTTAAAAAGTTGGAAATAGAAATACCAAATAATCCAACAATCCCACTACTATGTACATATTCTAGAGAACTAAGAGCCATGACATGAACAGATATATATATATATATATATATATATATATATATATATATATATATATATATATATATATCCATGTTCATAATAACATTATTCACAATAGTAAAAAGATGGAAACAACCTAAGGGCCCATCAATGGATGAATGGATAAACATTGGTACATACACACAATGGACTACTATGGAAAAAAAGTGGCAAATCCTTGAGAAACCTCATAATGTGAATGAACCTAGAGGACATTATGTTGATTGAAATTAGTTAATCACAGAAGGATGAACATTGTATGAGACTACAACTACAAAAAGTCAAGGAAAGACTTACTCACAGAAGGAAATGGAGGGGAGGGAAGTGAAGTTAAATCACTAACTAGAGG